TAATCGGCCGGGCGCAGTGGCTCACGCCTGTAATCCCAGCACTTTAGGAGGCCGAGGCGGGCAGATTACAAGGTCAGGAGATCGAGACCATCCTGGCTAACACAGTGAAACCCCGTCTCTACTAAAGAATACAAAAAATTAGCCGGGCGTAGTGGTGATCGCCTATAGTCCCAGCTACTCAGGAGGCTGAGGCAGGAGAATGGTGTGAACCCAGGAGGCGGAGGTTGCAGCGAGCCGAGATTGCACCCCTGCACTCCAGCCTGGGCAACAGAGCAAGACTCCATCTCAAAAATAAATAAATAAATAAATAAATAAAATAAAAATTATAATCAGGATATAAATGGATCCATAAATGAGTAAAGACAGGACATCAAAGAAAAGCAAGAAGGGAAACCTTTGTTGGATCAGAAATGATGACTCCTAGAAGGAAAGAATGCAAATGGAAGCCGATGCAGAAGGTTCGGTCAGGACGTGCTGCAGAACCTGGAAGAGCCCCCCAGGAATCGCCAGTGAGGAGCAGTGGATGCTCCGCTGGGCAGGGCTCCTGATGGGACAATTAGCTGGGGGACTTGCAGGCTGAGCAGCCAGGCAGTGACTGCTGCTGCAAAACTTCCCACACCATAGGCAACAACGGGGAGTGTCTGCCACCCGATTATTGCAGTGGGCGCAGTAGTCTTAGTAGACACAGAAAAGTGCAAGGAAAAAATGTACAGAAGGAAGTGACAGGACTCAATAAGCAAAGGAGAGCTAAGGTACCACCAAGCTAATCCAAAAATTACTGAGAATAAAGAGAAAATAAAATATTAATTTGAAATGAAAATAAAAGCATGGCAAAGTATGACAGGTGAAATGGTGGAGGATTTTGAAATGGAAGTTGGTGGGGAAGAATGTAGATAACGTTGCTTTCTTCTTCTGCATGTGTGCTGATACAGTGAGATAAAGTGTGTTTTCCCTGATCAATAAGAGGGTCTTGTGGTAGCCAAGGAGGCTAGTTTGGATTTCTAGCATGAAAAGTGGGGAAATATGGGCCCACAAGAGGTCATCCCATGCCTGGCACCTTCTCACAACTCTTGCTTGATTGTGGTGAGTTCTGGCTGTCAGGGAGCCTTAAGTGTTTTTACACCCACATCTTGGGTACAGGTGTTTTGCTCTCTGCCCTGATGCGACACCAGCCCAGCCAGCCAAGGACTTGATGGTTTATGCATGCTGGCCAGCTGGCAGGAGAAGTGACCGTGTTGCTGCCCAGACTCTGCAAAGGTTTGGAGTTCGGGCTTATCTTAACTTGCAATGCTGAATATGTCAGGAATTAGTGACCAGAAATGTGCAAAATCTTGCTTTGAACGTTTTTGAAAGACCCACAAGCAAAAAAGTCACTAGGATACTTCTAAATCAAAACAGCGTATCTATCACATGCTAAAGTCTCCCTTCTCTGATCCAATCCTTACTAATTACAATCAGGATATAAATGGATCCATAAATGAGTAAAGAGAGGACATCAAAGAAAAGCAAGAAGGGAAGCCTTTGTTGGATCAGAAATGATGACTCCTAGAAGGAAAGAATGCAAATGGAAGCCGATGCAGAAGGTTCGGTCAGGATGTGCTGCAGAACCTGGAAGAGCCCCCCAGGAATCGCCAGTGAGGAGCAGTGGATGCTCCGCTGGGCAGGGCTCGTGATGGGACAATTAGCTGGGGGACTTGCAGGCTGAGCAGCCAGGCAGTGACTGCTGCTGCAAAACTTCCCACACCATAGGCAACAACGGGAGTGTCTGCCACCAGATTATTGCAGTGGGCGCAGTAGTCTTGGTAGACACAGAAAAGTGTAAGGAAAAAAATGTACAGAAGGAAGTGACAGGACTCAATAAGCAAAGGAGAGCTAAGGTACCACCAAACTAATCCAAAAATTACTGAGGATAAAGAGAAAATAAAATATTAATTTGAAGTGAAAATAAAAGTATGACAAAGTATGATAGGTGAAATAGTGGAGGATTGTGAAATGAAGGTCGGTGGGGAAGAATGTAGATAATGTTGTAAAACTGTGTTTAAGTCTGTATATAAAAATGCAGAAGTAGTTTACCTAAGGACAAAATGGTATTGTAGGAAGCTATAGAGGCTGGTCCTTCCACTGGAACAACCATTGAGCTATAAAGAGTAATTGCAATGAATTATTTGGAAACTCTGGAACCTGGTCAGGCATCTATGGGAGAATGCTTGAAGAAAGGGGAAGCTGGGCCTGGTGCAGTGGCTCATGCTTGTAATCCCAGCACTTTGGGAGGCCGAGGTGGGCCGATCACGAGGTCAGGAGATCGAGACCATCTGGCTAATATGGTGAAACTCCATCTCTACTAAAAATACAAACAAAACAAACCAAAAAAATTAGCTAGGTGTGGTGGCAAGCACCTGTAGTCCATGATACTCAGGAGGCTGAGGCAGGAGAATGGTGTGAACACGGGAGGTGGAGCTTACAGTGAGTGGAGATTGCGCCACTGCACTCTAGCCTGGGTGACAGAGCAAGACTGTCTTTAAAAAAAAAAAAAAGAGAGAAAAGAAAGAAGAAAGAAAGAAAGAGCGAAAGAGCGAGCTGCTAGTCCTTTGTGAGTGGTGGACACGAGCCAGCTACCGCCTCCATTTCTTAGTCCTGCTGTGCCTATAAGAGTAGCAACCCACATTCCTGGAGCAGCTGGCTGATGTCAGAGTGAGCATCAGGGACCTTGTCCTCAAAAAATTTGATGTGGTACATTTTGGTCAGTCTGGTGGTGCCTGAGGGATCAATACGGAGACTTGCCTTGGTTTTGATCCACTTGGCAGCAGTGGCTTCCTCCAGCAGCATCCACTGGAAGATTTAAAGAGACAGACCTTCCCCCTTGTTTGTAGCTGGATATTTGAGGAAATCTTTGGTAGTTCACTAACTAACTGGTCGTAGAGATAAAGGAAGAGCAACTTCAGTGACAAGAAATACACATTTTGCAAAACTAGTTTGAAAAAGTCAGAAACTGATGGTTCCAGCCTTTAACAAGAGAAAATCCACAGTCCCAGAGGAGGAGAAGCCCTTGATTTTAAGAGTTACCACATTATGATACTCAGAATATCCAGTTTTTAGCAAAAAATTATAGAACATATAAAGAAACAGAATAATATGGCCTATTCACAGGAGAAAAGAACTTGGCATAAACTATGTCTGTAAAAGCTCAGACATTTGAATTATTAGTCAAAGACATTAAAGCAGCTGTCTTAAATATTCTCAGTGAACTAAAGGAAGTCGCTGACAACTAAATAATATAGGAAAATTACACATGAGCAAATTAGATTATTAATTGAGATAGAAATTATATATTTTTTAAAAATCAAAAAGAAACTGGAAGTGAAAAGTACATAACTGAAATAAAAAGTTCATTAAAAGAGTTCAACAGATTTGAGCAAGCAGAAGAAAGGATCAGCTAACTTGAAGACAACTGAAATTACCCTGTCTGAGGAACAGAAAAAAAAAGCATGAAGGAAAATGAACAGAGCGTGAAGGATCTGTGAGATACCATCAAGGGTACCAACATATGCAACACAGGAGTCTCCAAAGGAGAAGAGAAGGAAAGAGGCAGAAAAATACAGTGTTCCCCCATTATCAGCCGTTTTGTTTTCTGCACTTTCAGTTACCTTTGGGCAACCACAGTCCAATAATATTAAATGGAAAATTCCAGAAATAAACAATTCACAAGTTTTAAATTGTGTGTAGTTCTGAGTAGCATGATGAAATGTCATTCTGCCCTGCTCTGCCCACGCAGGACATGAATAATCACTTTGTCCAGCATATCCATGCTGTATACACTATCTGCCCATTAATGTACAGGAAAAAAAACATACTGTATAGAGTGTGGTACAATCTACAGTTTCAGATATTCACTGGGATTCTTGGAACGTATCCCCCACAGATAATGGTGGAGCAAGAGACTACTGTATTTAAAGAAATAATGGCTGAAAACTTTCTGAATCTAATTAAAGAAATGAATCTACACATCCAAGGAGCTCAACGAATTCCAAGCAGGCTATACGCCAAAAGATCTATGCCAAGACACATTACAGTTAGATTGTCAAGACATATACAACGAGAGAATTTTGAAGGCAGGCAGAGAGAAGTGACTAATCACAATCAAGGGGTCCTTAATAAAATTATCAGGTGATTTCCCAATAGAAACTAAGGAGGCTCAAAGGCAGTGGGGTGACATATTTAAATGCCCTGGAAGGGGGAAAATACCTGTCAACCAAGAATTCTGTATGTGACAAATCTATCCTTCCAGAATGAAGCAATAACTAAGACATTCTCAGATAGACAAAAGTTGAGGGAATTCATTACCAGTAGACCTACCCTAAAAGAAACGTTAAAGAAATTATTTAGTCTTAAATGAAGAGACACTAGACAGTAACTCAAAACCATACAAATAAACAAACAACATTGGTAAAGAAATAGAGAACATAGGTAAATATACAAGTCAATAATATTGTACTTTTGGCTTATAACTCTTTTTTTTCTATAAAATTTAAAAGTCAAATGTATAATACAACAACTATAAACATTGTTAATGGGCACACACTGTATAAAGATGTAATCATTGACAACAGCAATATAGAGGGTGATGGATGGAGATGGATAAAAGCAGTGTTTGTGTACTATTGAAACTAAGTTGGAGCTGACTGTAGTGGCTTACACCTGTAATCCCAGCCTTTGGGAGGCTAAAGTGGGAGGATCGTGTGAGACCAGGAGTTCAAGTCCAGCCTGGGCAATATAGTGATACCCCATTTCCACAAAAAACAATTTAAAATTAGCTAAGTGTGGTGATGTGTGCCTGTAGTCCTAGTTACTTGGAAGGTTGAGGTGGAAAGATTGCTTGAGCCCAGGAGTAGGAGGTTGCAGTGAATTAAGACTATGCACTCCAGCCTGGGCCTGTCTCAAAAAAAAAATTCTAAGTTGGTATTCAAACTAGGGTGTTATAAGTTTAAGACATTAATTATTATCCCCAATGTAACCATTCGGAAGATAATTAGAAAATGTACAAAAAGGAAAGAACAAAGGGATCAAAATGGAACATTATAAACATTCAACTAAAGAATTTTTAAATGGGCAGGAATTGAGAAATAAAAAATATATATGATATACAGAATGCAAAAAGCTAAATAGCAGAAGTGAATCATTTCTCATCAGTAATTACTTTAAACATTATATATATAGCTTGAACTTTTTAATTAAAAATCAGAGATTGGGAGATTGGATTTTTAAAAAGCTGAATGTGGACAAAGATGCTGAGTTAAAGGAGGTTGTCTTCCCTACCAAGTAATGGAGAAGCTCCAGGGCCCCAAGATACGGTGGGTCCCAGGGGAAAGGGGGAGGAGTGAGGATGGGGTTGGGATGTGAGGTTAAGCACAAGGGTGGTAGCTAAGTGTCCATATATGGAACATGTTGCTGACCCCACACAGCAAGCAGCTAGCCTCTGCCAACCCACAGGAGATAAGAAGGGTCTGATGTCAGGATACCAGAGGTATGGCAGGTGGGAGAATGGGGGACGCGCTAGAAAGGAAAGAGTGGGGTTTGTGACCATAATACTGAATAACTAGAGTCTTTTGTGGGAGAGAGATGAAGTACTTACTTCTCAGAACTTATGAAGCTATGGGAAGTAAGATGACAAGAAATTAGTGCAGGGATAGACAAACTGACAAGTGGAATTGACTACACAGCCCAGAAATAGACTCAAGTATGCGCATAAATGGAGCTGAGGACATAGGTAGCTTTTTATGCCAGTGGGGATCAATGAATGGAGCTGGAAACAATACAAATCCATAGAGGAAAGAATGAAGTTAGATCTCTACCTCACACCATACACTGAAATCAACAAAAGATAAAGACTTGGCTCTCAAAATCAAAACTTAAAACCTTCAGTAGAAATAACAGATGGTATCTTTTAGATATTTTGGTGGAAAGATTCATTAATCAAGAACTAAAAGCATTCCTTTTACAATATGAATAAACATGACTATATTGTAATGCATGATCTGGTTTCTAGAATGGTATATTAAATTAAGCATGGAGTTAAGCTGCACATGGACAGACTCTATCTGTAATTCACCCAACTGACAAAAGGTGTGTATAAAGAATATATAAAAACTCATATAAATCAATGAGAAGCACAAAGAGTCCAATGGAAAAATGGACTAGGGACATGAGCAAGTGCTTCATGGAAGAGAAAACTCGCATGGCTCACATGTGTTCAGATTCATTAATAATCAGGAAAATACTGGAGGAGGCCACAATAAGCCACCAGTTCACACTATTCGACTGTCAATTCCAAGTGTGGAGAGGACACGAAGCAATAGGACTTCTTATAGCCTGCTGTGAGAGTGTAACATGTGCAACACCTTTAAAAAATAGTGGCCTTATCTCTGAGAGCTGGACATTCTAGCAATTGCACCACTAGGAATAGCCCCGGGAGAAATGGTTGCACCTGTACAACAGGAGATCTGTCAAGATTGAGCTGCACAGCCGGGTAGCGAAAAACTGGAAACCGTCTCCATGCCCAACCATAGCAGAGCGGGTAATTAAGTGCGGTATGGGGTGGAACAGCCACAGAAGCAAACGCGAACAGACTACAGCGACACGCAGTATGGACAGACCTTGACAATTCAGTATTAAGTGAAGAAAGTGATTCCCCAAAGATTCCAGATATTACATACATACAACGTCCTTTCTGTTAAAAAGAAAAAAAAGAAAAAGTAACCAATGTATTGCATGTATGTACTCTTCAGGAATATTATACATCTCTCTCTCTATACACACACACACACACACACACACACACACACACACATCCATCTAAGGAACAAAATTTAAAGGCAAGCAAGAGAATGAAGAACATGAGCGGGGTGCAAGGACTTGGAATGGGGGCCCTGACAGCAGACAAAAACGATGTCAGACTCTGCTTTTGTTTTTGGTGCTTCCTCCATTATCATAAATAAACAAAATACAGAGTCAGTGAAGGAAGCAGGTCACTCAGATCAAGGATGCATCAGTGTTCCTACCCAGGATTGGGATTAGTGTGACTCTGGGCACCTGGGATCCAAAACAAGGGGAAAGAGGCAACTACCATTCACTACGCCAGACGCTGGCAGTGACGTTCACAACTCCAGGAGCTCACACATGACCTTCTTGGGAAGCGATATGAATATCCCTCATATCCTTGTGAGGAATAGGGGCTCGGAGTGGATTAAAAACTTACGAGGTTACAGAACCAGCAGCATCTCCACACTGGCCTAGAACCCAGGTCTGTCTGATGCCAAAGTCCAAATGCAGGTTACGGTGCCAATTAGCTCCTGATCGCTCTGCTAAGAGGAGCTTTGGATTCCTGCAAAGAGTGAGAGAGGGGGGCCTGGGATGCCTCTGGGGGATATCAGAGCAGCAGGATCAGACGCAGGTCCTGGACTGAGCCTGCAGCTAAGAGAAGCAGCTCACAGGCCGGGTCTGGGGGTGCAGGCCAGTCCCCATCAGACTCTCCGTGACTGTGGCCACTGGAGTTAAGGGCCAGGGTGTGACCTTCCATGGTCAGAATGGGGCTCTCCTAAGTGGAGTGAAAGACAAACCCTAGATCTTCAGGTGGGTCCTTCTGAATCTCTGGGGCCACAGAAGGAAAACTGGGCACTGCAGCCTGATGGGGATGGGAGGGGTCAAGTTGTGCAGCCTCCCTCTCACTGCGCAGCCTCTTGGGAGCGAGCGCATGGGACGTCTGCGAGGACCTGCGCCCTTAGCCTTACACCCTTTGCTGGGCGTGTGAGTGCTCAGCTCTCAGTGCAGACGCGGGACGTCTGTGAGGACCTGCGCCCTTAGCCTTACACCCTTTGCTGGGCGTGTGAGTGCTCAGCTCTCAGTGCAGACGCGGGACGTCTGCGAGGACCTGCGCCCTTAGCCTTACACCCTTTGCTGGGCGTGTGAGTGCTCAGCTCTCAGTGCAGAGAGACAGCCCGATGGTAGCTGCATCTGCCCTCCTTTCCTCTCCGAGCTCCTCTGCTCTGCCCGAGCTGACCTCCGGGTGTGGGTCCAGACCTGCCCACACATCCTGCGCTGTGTCCTCAGTGCTCCCAGCCCTGCCCCACTTGCAGGCTCCCTCACTCAGTTCTCCTTGGACATTTGAATGTGTCTCCAACACACTCTCGTGCTCCACCTTTTTAAAAAATTAATTAATTAATTAATTTTGAGACGTAGTCTTGCTCTGTTGCCTAGGCTGGAGTGCAGTGGCACGATCTTGGCTCACTACAACCTCCACCTCCTGGGTTCGAGAGATTCTCCTGCCTCAGCCTCCCGAGTAACGGGATTACAGGTGGTGCCATCAAACCAGGCTAATTTTTTGTATTTTTAGTAGAGACAGGGTTTTGCCATGTTAGCCAGGATGGTCTCGATCTCCTGACCTCGTGATCTGCCTGCCTAGACCTCCCCACATGCACCATCTTTTGACCATCAGTTAGACGCGCGCACACACACAAACACACACACATTATTTAATCCCACTTGTCTCCTATATGCACAGTTTTCCCAACATTTTATTAAAATTTCAAACATAAACAAGACTGGAAAAGGCTTTACAGAAAAAAAACAAAAAACAAAAAACAAAAAAACCTGAACCCAGCACCTGGATGCCACCAGGGCTAACGATTGTCCTCCGCCCCATCACATAACTGCCCGCCCATCGCCCTGGTCTGCCGCATTTCAGACTGGTTGCAGACGTCCACACACCTCGCTGAGATGCACACACGGTACTTCCGGCACTGCAACACCTATTTTTGTGTTCTGTCTGCTTCTGTCACACACACACACGTGTTTCATAGTTGAAAATATTTTCTGTCCCCGACTTTTTCTTCTATTCCACACCCGTCTTTGATGTTGTTCCACAGGACCCTTCCTGTAGACGGAGTGCCCGTGTCCCCCAGATTCACATGCTAAAGTCCTAACCCGAGGGTTGTGTGTCATAAAGCAGAGCCTTTGGTGTCAGCTCACGAACGAGGGACCCCGATGACAGGATTCGTCCAGTGTCTTTAGAACAGGCATCCGAGTCGGACCTCACTCTCAACTCCCTGTGTGTGAGGACAACCAGAGGAGGCCATCGGAGGACCAGGAAGGGGCTCTCACCAGACACCAGATCTGCCGGCGCCTTGACCTGGGACTTTCCAGGCTCTGGAATGGTGAGAAATACATGTTTGTTGCCTAAGCCCCTGGTGCATGGTACTTCTGTGGAAGCAGGCGGAACAGACTAGAACACCTATGAATGCTTACAATTAGTCAAACAAGCAACTCAGAGTATTGTTGCAACCTCCACTGTGGAGGAAGACTACTTGGTGCTCACTGGAGGGAAGAGGCCAGCAGCTTTGGGGATACCCCAGACGGCGAGGTCCTTTCTAGATGCCAAACAGCGGCAGGACTCAGGCTCAAGCCCTGGCGGGGAGACAGGAGCTCCTCATGATCCCCTCTGCTAGGAAGCAGAGGAGGAAGGAAAGACCACCTGTCAGCAAAGCAGAGTCTTACTTTGGCGGGGAGCTCACAACAGGCCATGAAGGCTCCAAAGTTCTGCAAGCACCATTACCATGGTTTCTGCTTGTCAGCAGATCCCAGGAACAGGTAGCTCCTGGGAGGTTGTGTGAGTGCTCAGAAGTGTACCACACAACAGACACCACCTGGGCATGAGTCTCACATGGAAAGCACCCTTGATGCTTGCTAGTGGGATAATACAAAGGAACGGCCCCAGCCTCCAGTGGAAAATTAATACAAGCCACTGAATGAGGCGCTGGGGATTAGGGTCTTCACAAGGGCAATCCTGCTCCCTATTCCCACTTTCATTCCAGCTGGTCAGCCTGAATCCACCCATTCCCTTCAACATCCCACAGCAAACACGCAGACCAGAATATCCCCATAAGTCTGTCTAATATCCACCACTAGAGACACTATAAATTCCTACACATTTCCCACTAAAATAGACCTGTGATTAGCAACATCACACCGCACAGGCACTTAATGGATGGATTTTCCCCCCGTGGCAAAGCGTGACACGATTTAAACAAAGTCCCTGATCGCTACAAACTGATGTTTGTAATGTGCCCAGTGCCCAGCAGGCAGAGCCTGAAATAAAAGGCTGTGAGGGAGTCTATAAGGTGGACCAGCTGGATCCAAACTGTTAGGTGACCATGGAAGCATTTTCTGTGACAAGAAAAAGGGTTAATGGCAAGTTATCGCCTGTTGCATCTAGAGGCTTTGTAAACTTATGTGTTGTTAGTGTAACACTTTTCACGTTAAACGAGGTTAGGTTAGCTCATTCTCCTATGGAGAAGACTCGATTGAAATGAAGACAGCTTCCAACAAAGAGGAGTATGATTTAAGGATGGAGTGGTTTATGCCCATCAGACAGAACAATGTAGAGTTTAAAAAGCAGGTCCTAAAGAGGTGTATAACATGATTATAATTTCATTTAGAAAATGGGTCTCATACACAGAAAAAATGTTAAAAGGGAAGCTGCAGGAGGTGCCAATCAAAATGCCTGCAGTAGCCATTGGTGGGTGGGAGGACTGTGAGTGAGTTAGGTTTTTACACCAAGAATTTTTGTTTTCCATTTTGAATGTGTACTGATAAAACATATATATTTTTTCAAAGTGAAAATTTACAATCCTGGTCACAATCAATTTTCTATCATTCTTGCCAGAAACGGATCAAAGAGAAAATGTCTTAGTTTTTACCTAATATCAGAACCATAGTCAGGCTATACTTCGAAGTAAAATTCAGCATAACCTGGATTCACTAAATCAAAGAAAACCAATTTAGAAGAAACATTAGTGGGTTGTGTGAAAGAGCATTTTCACACTAAGTGATATTTAATCCTTGATGGCTGAAACCAGGCACAACTCTTAAGCAATTCTCAGGTTTGAGAAACTGATGAACGGGGCACATCTCCTGGGCGGCCTTTCTCTGACCCAGGAAGCTGCCTGCCTCTTGAGCTGCAGAACCCGGCTGGCCTTCCCTGGCCTGGAACTCTGGCACTGCCCCCAGAGCGTTACCATGAAGGGCAGAGCTTCTGGGGCACTCAGGAAGAGCAAGACAGGAACTTCTGTCCTCTGCTCAGCTGGGGGAGACTGACTTACTGGGGCTCCCTGTGGAGTTGGGATGCAGGGAAAACACTATGGGCCGCTCTCAAAATAAGGTGTATGTTTAACGCAACTTTGCTCCAAATTTCAGGTTTCCTGGAACTGAAACAAAATGTATTTTCCATATAAATTTTAAATAAACTTACATGAAAAAATTAACTTTAAAAATTGTCAGAACTTTTAGAAATGAAAAAACCTGAGAATGTGCCTGTCAGACATTAAAGTGTAGCTCAGGAAGGTCCAGTAATTAAAACAGCATGGTTTAGGACACAGATCAACAAGACAGAAATAAACGTGTAGAAACAGATCTGAGTCTAGTGCTTATGGCAAGCACTAGAAAAGGGGGCCTTTGAATTAGATGGGAAAGGTGTATTGTTTCATAAACAAGGTGGTAACCATTAGTTAAGTCTTTGAGATAAAATAACCTTAGCTCTCTCCCTGTATGCAAAAGTAAGTTCAGGATGGCTCGAAAATCAAAATATAAGGAAAACCAAAAAAGAAAAATTATGAAAATATCAGCAAAGAGTTCTAGATGATATTTGTAAAACTCTGGAGTAAGAAACACTTTTTAAAGTAAGACAGGAACATTTGACAACTTTGACTTCAGAAAAATTTATGACCTTCACATTGCAAAAGACATGATAAACACAAAATTTTAAGAGACAGACTGAAAGAAATACATTGGAAACACATAGATCACAGAAGTATTATCCCTAATGTGCAAAGACCACTTAATATTGACAATACAAACAACTCCATTTAAAAGTGTGCAAACATTTGAAAAGCTAATTCATACAAGAGAAACTGTGAAACAGTAAAAAGAGAATGACGATATGTTCAGTGTCATTAGTAACAATTAGAGAGAAAACAATATTGTCAGTGTCTGCCAACACTGGCACAAAGGTGCTTCTTGCAATTTTGTTTGCAAAACCTAAACTTGGCCATAAACTTAATATCCCGTAGTGAACAACGGTTGACTAAGCCACGGTATATGCACATCATGAAAGAGGGTGAAGTTCCTCACAAGAAGAAAACACATCTCACATCTCTGTGAAACGCCATGCACGTAATCCACGCCAGCCACGCACGTAATCCACGCCAGCCACGCACGTAATCCACGCCAGCCACGCACGTAATCCACGCCAGCCACGCACGTAATCCATGCCAGCCACGCACGTAATCCATGCCAGCCACGCACGTAATCCATGCCAGTCATGCACGTAAT